ACTGGCTACCACAGAAACCTATTCCACAGCTCTTAAAAACAAAGCAATGTAGAGCATCTAAGATGAAAAAGGAATGTGTAGAAAAAAAGATTGAACACTGTACAACCAAGAGAGAAGTCTGACATGGGGGTGGAAAGGGACTTAGTGGGTTGGGTGCTCACTGTGTGTGCACTAGTGTGACCACACATGACTGTGCCACCATCATTGTGAGGAGTGGAAACAGGGGGATCTCTGGGGCTTGGTGACGGACAGCCTAGCTCCAGGTTCACTGAGAGATCCTGTATCAAGCAAATAAGGCAGAGAGCGACTGACTGATAAAGCAGGCCACTGGCTGACCTCCGTTGGCTTCTGCACATATTCATGGACACCAGCACATACAACTACATACACATGTACCACACACACACACACACACACACACACCTATACTTTTTTAAAAATATATTCAACATTATACAGCCGGTAACTAGATTGTTCCATATTTGTAAGCTACTCAGATGAACTTTATCTGGACTGTCCAGTACACACAACTCAGAACAGGCATCTCCTTCTCTACTTCAGTGGGTAAAAATGTTGAATAGTCTTGAAGAACAGAGAGCTTGACTAGCCATCCCTTGTCTGGTTAACAAAACATCAATTCCTTAGACCTCGTTGACACCGACAGAAAAGCAAGTGCCCCGGTAACTTACCTGCTTCTTGTCCCTGATAAGAATCTTGATAAGAATGTAACTTTTTCCGAAGAACACAGGCCAGGGTCCCCAAGTTCAATCCTGCAAGCTGCTTCTGTTGCATACTGGTCCTAAGACGGGATCGTTCTGAAAATGATTCGTAATGAATTGTGCGTGTTTGACGTGAGTGTAATGAAATCTGCAGCAATAAGAACATATTCCTGGGTTATACAACCCAGGTCATATAATGTGTCCTGAATCCCATGAGTCCTGCAGGCTACTTGTGGGATGTTCATTCATGTGATGCTTGTGGGATGTTCACTCATGCGATGCTCATGGGATGTTCATTCATGTGATGCTCGTGGGATGTTCACTCATGCGATGCTC